ATATTTCTGTAATCCCTGCTGCTCCGGAGGCTGAGGCAGGAGGATCATGAGTTCAAAGCCAGCCTCAGCAACTGCGAGGCACTAAGCAACTCAGTGAGACCCTGTCTCTAAATAAAATACAAAATAGGATTGGGGATGTGTCAGTGGTCGAGTGCCCCTGAGTTCAATCCCCAGTATCCCCCAAAAAAATAAAAATAAAAAGGGGGGCTGGGGATGTAGTTCAATGGTAAATTCCCAGAACTAAAAGCCAAACTAAACCAAACAAAAAAACCCACCAAAAAAAGACAAAAACAACCACCAAAAACCCCTAGTGTATGTGTACACACAAACACACACACACACACACACACACACAAAGAAACAGCACTATTCATAAGAACCAGGATGAGGAATGACCTAAATTCATGGGTAGATGAATAAGAAAATGTGGGAAATACATAAAATGGAATACTATTTAGCCTTGAAAAAGGGAATTCTGCAATATGCAACAACATGGATAATTTTGAGGACGTTATATTAAATGAAAACAGTCTCAGAAAGACAAACACTGTATAATTTCCCTTAATAAGTTATTTAAAATCATCAAATTTATAAAAACAAAGAGTGGAATGGTGATTGCCAGGGGTTGGGAGGAAGGAGAATTGGGTAATTAATGGGCATAGGGGATATAGCTCAGCTGGGAGAGTACTTGCCTCACATGCACATGTCCCTAGAGTCAATCCTCAGCACTACAAAAAAAAAAAAAGTTTCAATCAAGCAAGATGAATAAACTCTAGAGATCTGTTGTACAACATTGTACCTATGATAAAAAATAATATATTATACCCTTAAAAACTGTTAAGAGTGGGGATGGGCATGGGGCTCAGCAGTAGAGCACTTGTCTTGCATGTGTGAGGCCCTGGGTTCAATCCTCAGCACCACATAAATAAATAAAATAAAAGGTATTGTGTCCACCTACAATTAAAAAAAATTTTAAAAAAACTGTTAAGAGGGTAGGTTTCATGTTAAATGTTTTTTTTTTTTTTTTTTTTTTTTTTTTTTTTTTTTTAAAGAGAGAGTGAGAGAGATAGAGGTAGAGAGAGAGAGAATTTTTTAATATTTATTTTTTTAGTATTTGGCGGACACAACATCTTTGTATGTGGTGCTGAGGATCGAACCCGGGCCGCACGCATGCCAGGCGAGCGCGCTACCGCTTGAGCCACATCCCAGCCCCATGTTAAATGTTTTGATCACGGTAAATTTTTTTTTTAAAACAGAGCTAAAACTATAAAACTTTTAGAAGGAAATACAGGAGTAGTCTTTACAACTTTGGGTTAGACAAAGCCGAAGACATGATACTAAAAGTATAGGCAACAAAAGAAAAATATATAAACTAGACTTTATCAAAGTTAAAACATAAGCTTCAAAGGATACCATGAAGAAAATTAAAAAACCCAGAGTGAATGGGAGAAAAATTTGTAAATCATTCATCTGATAAAGGATTTATATCTAGAATACATACTCTCACAACTCAATAAAATGTGACAACCCAATTTAAGAATTTATACAAAAAAAATCTTTTTAATGGGCAAAGGATTTAATAGACATTCTCCAAAGAAGCATACAAGATGCTTAACATCATTGTTATCAGGGAAATGCAAATTAAAATCACAATGAGATAGTTTCACACTCACCAAAATGCCTATACTAAAAAAAGACAATAACAAGTGTTGACAAGGATGTGGAGGAATTAGAACCCTCATATACTATTGGTAGAAATATATACTGGTGTAGCTGCTCTGGAGAAAAATCTTGCAGTTTCTCAAATGGGTACCATCAACTGCTCCTACTCTTCTGATCATATTGGTAAAGTTACACCCATACCTGGTTCCTAAAAAGCCCAAAAGCATCAGATCACATCAGCCTTCCTGGTCTCCATACTTCTTCCCAGATATTTCTTCCCTAATTCCAGACCCTCTGAACCGTTATTTCATCCACTAAAACTGGGTTCTCTTTTTACTAGTTCTCCCCCGACAGGTCCAAAGTCTTCTGAATTTTCACCTTGTTTTCACTACACTCTTCCTACACAAAGTCCAGGGGCTGCATCTCTTATCCATGAGAAGAGCTCCTTTAAAAACACTGAGTTCAGGGCTGGGGATGTGGCTCAAGCGATAACGCGCTTGCCTGGTATGCGCGGGGCGCTGGGTTAGATCCTCAGCACCACATAAAATAAAGATGCTGTGTCCACCAAAAACTAAAAAATAAATATTAAAAACAATAAAAAAAAAAAAACACTGAGTTCAAAGACCTTCTTTTTCCACCTAGAATTAAACCAACTGTCTCATGAGAGGATAACTGGCTTTTGCTTTATATAAAGACATAATCAGTCAGGTACAGTGCCACACACCTATAATCCTAGCAACTCAGGAGGCTGAGGTAGGAGGATCGCAAATTTACAGACAGACTCAGAAATATAGTGAAGACTTAAGGAACTTGACAAGACCCTGTCTCAAAATAAAAAGGGCTGGGGCTGTGGTTCAGTAGAAGTATCTCTGGGTTAAATCCCCAGCACCAAAAAAAAAAAAAAAAAAAAAAGCAGAAGAAATGACATCCATCCTTCATATTTGATTTACCATAGACCAGTATACCTAGATGCTTAAATGGTAAGGAATCAAAGAAGAGAGGATATCTGAAAACTCAGATGGAAAAAAGTTGTGACATCAGGCTTCTGAAGGAAGGGAACCTCCAAGAAAGGCTTGATCCACCAAAACCAGTGGCCCTGATCCCCAAGAGAATTGCAAGATTTTATATTCTTCTGGGCATGTGTGTCTCCACTTCCCAGATGGGGACACTAAATTACTACACCTTCTTGTAGATCAGAATGAAGCAATAAAACAAGAGACTAACTCACCTCTAAAGCTTACCTGTCCAGGGCAGTGGTGCTCTATATCCATCCCACCCAGGTACTCATTCATATTTAGATGCATGGCTCTTGCTTAAAAGTCAATGCCTTTCCAGCTAGCTCCTCAAACTTTAACTGCACTTTTATCATTGAGTTACACTTCCAACCCTTTATTTTTTAATTTTTGAGACAGGGTCTCGCTTAGTTGCCCAGGCTGGCCTCCAACTTGCTATCCTCCTGTCTCAGCCTTCTGAATTGCTGGGATCACAAGCATGTGCCACTACATCCAGCATCAAACTGTTTTAAAGTTGGCAAAGAAGAAGGTGAATACCGTGTCCATCTGCCATTCAAAGGCTTTCATCTCATTGCCTGGGCAGACTTACTGCCTATCTAGTAGCAAACAAAGCACCACTCTCAGGAAACGGCATGCACAAGCACACACCCCAGAGCACATATTCAGATTTTCTAGCAAGACTATAGCTCCCATCTATCCTGGGATGTGAAGAAAAGGAACAGGAGGCAAAGAAAACAGAGCCCTGTGGTGCTGGACAATGAACTCCATCTCTTGCTGTAATCACAGGCAAGCTACTCTTTCACACAGGACCCAAGTTCCTTCCAGCTATTCCAGACTTAGGCTTCTCCCAGTTCTCTACAGAGACATAACGCTTTCTAGTGAGATGCAGGATAGAGAATAAAATCAAGGAATGACTTCCAGAAAGGGACACAGGGTTCACATTTTGATGACCCAGTTTCCCACAAAATGTTGCCAGATGACCCTGGTGGCGGCAGGAAGCAGGAGGAGCAAATTCTGCTGGATTGTTGGCCCAAAGCAGCTCCTAGAGGTCTGAACATTAAACCAATGTACTCACTACCCTGCCAGGACCCTCACTAATCCCAGTAATGACAATGAAAGGCAATCTACTCATGACCGACTAAGACCTCACATATAACATGTGCTTTTCTATATCAGATGTATCACATAAAACCATGGCTCAGGCTATGGTTCATCAACCTCCAGCCAAAGCCACATCTAGCTCCTCTACCAAAGCAAAGCAAAGTCTTGGATCCCTGGTCATCATTTAGTCTAATTTCAAGAGTTCAGAAAAACCAGGGAATCTAAAGAGTTGAAGTCCACAGAAAACCCAAAGCTTCATTTTCCTCATTCCAAACTTATAGCTGGCAAAGGTAGTGCTTCAGGTCTTTTTACTCCCAAAGAAATGGTCAGAAGGCAAAGAGCAAGTGTCCAGAAGAGCAGACAGACCCTAAACAAACAGCTCTAAAAAAGTCACCCAGCTCAAATTCTGTATCCAGATCCAACTTCCTGGCAGAGCTGATGGACAATCTCAAAGCACCCCAAGATCCAGAGCTGATGAACAACAGTCACCATTAGCACATCCTTGAGAACCATAAAGTAGAAAAGTCAGTCTTTGAAATGAACACCACAGAATAGGGAAGACATATTATTTAAATTATGAATAGTCCTTATAATCAGGCCTCTACTACTCTCAAGACTGTTACATTTACTCTCCTCCCTCTTCCAGAAGGACCCTAGTACCGTGTTTGTACTTCAAAGGAACCTGTGCTTCTCCAGTCGATACATCTCGTTCAAGAAAAAAACCAAATCCAGGGAGATTTCCATAGTAGGGGTAAGGAGGCCTGGAGGATGGGAAACTTTGAGCAGCCACCCCAACCAAACGACTATACACAGAGGAATATTCACGCAGGCCAGTGCCACTTGCCCTGTCAACGGGACAATGATCCGGCAGCCAGCTACAAGGGGCAAGGAGGAATACACATGTAACCAACAGGGTGAGATGAGAAGCGAGTCAGAGGGGACCAAAGGGATTCCGCTGCAGCCAGGCCTTCCCTCTGAGCTCCAGGGGTAGCCCGAAACCAGCACACGGACGCAGGAAGCCAGAGGGGCTGGAGGGAAGACCGCGACCGCACACCACGGAGACACCAGGCCTCGCGTGGCGTTCGGGGAGTGCACCGCGGCCGGACGGTAAGCAAGGGTGGGCGGTGGTGCGTGCAAGTGGCTTGGCCAGGGGCTGCAGGCGTCACCCTCAGGGTCTGCGGGGCGAGGGCCAGGGGCAAGGGGACAAGCGGGGGAGCTGGTTACCGTGTGGTTCACCCCCCACATCAGGACGCTGAGGATCGGCTCGCTGGCCCGGAATAGCTTCACTTTCTGGCACACGAAATGCTTCTTCTTGGTCTTGGTCTTGCTGGCGCTGAGCGGCGCCACCGCCACCGCCGTGGTGCTAGTGCAGTTGGACGACATGCCCGAGGCGGCGGCGGCGGCGAAAGGGGGGGCGGCGAAGACAGCGCACAAGCCAGCGGCCCCAGGCCTCCCCCGGACAGATCCCCACCCCCGCTGCCTCACCGCGCCATGGTCGCGCCCGTCCCGTTACCTCCCCACCCCACCCCGTTGGTTCCGTCCGCCCCACGCCCCGCCCTCCCCGTCCGCCCCGTCCCGCCCCGCCCCAGGGAGCCGGCCGCTCCCGCACCCCGCCCCCAGGTGGTGCACCGCCCCGTTGTCACCAGGCCCTCTCCTTCCCACCCGGGTGGTACCGCCCGTCCCAGGGAGGCAGCGGCCGCCCCTCTCGCCCCTCCTCCCCGGGCCTGACAGGAATCCGGCCGGCCTCCGCAAGCCTCAGAAGCCCGAGCCGGAGCAGGGAGAGGAGGAGGGATGGGCAGGTCTCACTGTGTACCGCGGAAGGAACTCCCTGTCCTAACACCCCCCTTCAAAAGCCCGGGCTTGGCTCGTTCCCTCAATCTGAGGTGCCAAGATGGCGGCAACGCCACTGCTTCGGGAAAGGAGGAGGAGCGGGAATGCGAGGAGGGTGGGACGTACCATCCCCACCCCGGGGGAGCGAGGAGGAACACAGCAAGGGGAAAAGGAAGTCCAGCCTGGAAAACCAAGGAACGCCCCCTCGCTCCACCCAAGCGTGGGTTTTCCCACTCCCCAAGGCCCAGGGTGCACTCCACCCGTGGGGCACGCCCCTTTCCCCCAGGGCCAATGAGAGGGGCAGCTGAGAACCCTGGGTTTATGAATGGGCCCCGCGCCCACCCACCTGCCTCCAGTTCTCCTGCGCCCCAAGGGTCAAGTTAAGAACCTGTGGGCACCTTCAGACACATACCTTAATAATCGTCTTATTTTCTGGCTTAGTGAAATCTAAGTAAACGGCCCACGTTCTGTTACATAAGACAAGGATCTCTATATATTCGACACAAACCATGGGTCAAAATTCTTTCTATAACAGGAGTAAGAAAACTCGGTGATCCACGTGGCTACTCTTGACAGTTACAAAAATAAATGTAACCTTTATTACCAAGTAATAAAAACCATAATTAACTGTAGCATAGGGCAGTAGAATGAAGTGATTAATGAATAACAAAAGTATGTTAAATTCTCTCTGGGCAAAACTTTTTTAAAGCATTAGTGTCTGGCATCATAAGTGCTCAAAAATAAAAATCCAAATACATTTTAACCAGAATTAGAAGTTAGAAGAACAAAGAAATAGCTCAGCTAACTTGTGACTCAGAAGTGCCTAGGAGGGACTGCGGGTTGTAGCTCAGTGGTAGAGAACGCTTTCCTAGCACTTGTGAGGCACTGGGTTCGATCCATCACATAAAAATGAAATAAATATATCGTGTTCACTTACAAATAAAAACAAAAAAAAAATTTTAACAAAAAATTGCCTAGGAAATCCCTGTCAAATGAGGGCTTCTGGTGAAGGAATAAAGGGAAAAGCAGTTAAAACAGGGAAGTGGCCACTTGAGTTTATTTTTGTTTGGGGGAACTTTTTTTTTTTTAATAGCTACAAAATAGTAGGAAACAACCCCTGAAAATCTAGCATTGTACATGATAAAAAAAAGAAGCCATGTAATAAACAGCTTCCATTTTATTTTCTTTTAGGAGCCAGGGAACATAGTAGCAATGTGGTCCTGACTCCTAAAAACTTGCCTACACTGCTGCACTGATCACACATGGGAAACTCGGAGCAGGGAGATCAGATAGATAGCCTAGATTCTATCGATAAACCCAGGCTTCTCCTAAATGTGCCCTATTCAGAGAAAAATAAGCTGACCTACCTTACTGTGCCACTCACAAGATTCAGTGTGGCTGTACTATATTACATAATAAAATCACTTAGCAAACAAGATACTCTCACAAAGCTAAACTTTTTTTAAAAAGCATGTAAAAAAATATACATTTGTACATATACACATTATACTTTTACAAACCAAATAGTTAACAGTTCACTTAGACCTTTTTGTATTCTCTTCCAGATCCTTTGTCACTCTCTTGGCTGTTCCCTAATCTGACATCATTCTGTTATATTATTTACTAGATCAAATAAATTCATGTATCCCAGTTAGCACAATCTATCCAAGTGGCTCTGGAGAGAGCTCAGAATGGTATGATCTATCCTGAGGCAGTGAAATAGGTCTATTCACACAAGTGTGAGGAAAGAGGTGTCATGAGCATCACAAACCCAGCAGGCCGCCTTCCAGAGCAAGATGAATATTCCCAATGGCATGGCTCAGTGCCTGCCCATTAAAACAGAGTCAAAACCCACTCTGCATACTGCAAAAGCTACTTAGGATCTCATAACCAGGTCACACTGATTCACAAAGGAAGCAAAGTATTTCAGGAATTGATGGACGAGGGTCACTTTGAACAGTGGTGGTTTGAAATCTGTGGAAGAAGTCACTGAACTCTTATAAAGAGAATTTTTTAGGGATTAGCAGCCTCCCTGAAAAGTTCAGGAAAACCAATAAGAAAAAGAATGGTTTTCATCTTTTCATAAAGTTCTTCTCCAGAGCCACTGAGGTTCTCTGTAGAGAGTGGATATTCCGTTTCACCCGATCCTCCAGGGAGGAAGTAGATGCACTCTCTAGCTTCATGCGGCTAGGAAATAAAAAACATTTGTCAATTGGTCAGGTCTGGCAGAATTAGAAGAAACAGGTTGCTAGCCTTAAAGCAACTGTAGAAACAAGCTCTTTTAAGCCCACATAGAAAATTTTCAAGTGATTCCATCTGGAACCAAATTTTTTAAATGTCCATAAGAGAAAATTCATCTGCTTTTGAAAATAAGTCAAAGTCTCATTGGAAAAAAAGACTTTCTGAGCCATTAATTCTTATTTAAAAGAAATGCAGGGTCAGGGTCATGGCTCAGCGGTAGAGCGCTTGCCTAGCATGTGTGAGGCACTGGGTTTGATTCTCAGCACCACATATAAATAAATTAATAAAATAAAAGGTCCTTCAACAACTAAAATAAATAAATAAATAAATAAGAAATGCCAAAGAATTTCAGAGATTTAGAGAAAATACCAATTCACGTCTCCCTCTTAAAATCAAAAACCTCCCACTATCTGGCCAGAAGCTACGAATAGTAAAAAAGGTGGTCCTAAAGCTGAGCTCCATATTCTCCCTGCAGACACAGCGACACCTGGAACACATTGAACCCACTGTTAGACTCTCTCCTTGAGACCATGCCTACGGAGCCCCAGGCAGGAAGAAATGTACTCACTGGATGAACTTCCCATCCCGGGAGTCTAGCTTCTCCAGCCTCCGTTCCCGTTCGTCCTCCCTAGCGTGCCTTTTGAGGATGTTCAGCCTCTCCTCTTCCCTCCATTTAGCATTTTCCATCATCTCCTGCCGTTTTCGTTCCAGTTCTTCTGCTGAGAGTTTTCTGTTGAACACAAAAAACATCCCATCAATTCTACCTCACTCCTAGCAAAAATCCCAGAAGCAGCACAGGGAGATAAAGGTCAGGCAGGACCCAAGCTCTCCAGCCCATGGCTTTCTCCAAGGAAATGGCCAGAGCAGTGCCATGTCCAGCATGAGTTTCCCTCCTACTAACATAGTGTGGTGCAGAGGTACTGGGGATTGAACTCTAAGGTGCTCTACCACTGAGCTACAACTTTAGCCCTTTATTATTTTTTGACTGTGTCTAAGTTGCCAAGTCTGGCCTTGAATTTAGGATTGTCCCAAATCACTGAGATTACAGGCAAGCATTGGCTCCTCTTAACATTTTGGTCAGGTGTTTTCACCCAAATTTTAAACACTTTTAGAATCTCACAATCTTGGCAGTTGGGCATGGTGGCGCACACTTATAATCTCAGCAGCTCGGGAGACTGAGGCAGGAGGATTGAAAGTTCAAAGCCAGCCTCAGCAATTTAGCGAGGCTATAAACAACCTATCGAGACCCTGTCTCAAAATAAATAAATAAATAAAATGGTTGGGGATATAGCTCAGTGGTAAAGCACCCCTGGGTTCAATCCCTGGTACCCCAACCCCCTGCAAAAAAGGCTTGCCAGAGGCAACTGAGATATCCCTGGATTCCCAAGCAAAACTTGAAGCTGGAGATTACTCTGCCAAACATCTATAGGAGACCTTGTGGTTTACCCTCTGGAGAAACTGAACCATACAGGAGAAAAGAAGATTCAGAAGCATCAGGCACAGCACAGAAAGTTGGCAAGGCCACCATACTGCAAAGAGGATGAAGTGAAGCCCACATGCTCCACACTGAGACTCACAGTCCCTGATGGGATCTGTGCCTCTCTCAGAATGCCAGCAGCCAGGATCAGGCAACTAGAGGATTTTTTTTTTTTTTTCCTGAAGAAATTTTACCAGTCCCTAACAAAAGAATCAAAGTTACTGACAGCTGAGAGTCCCAGCTAAAAAAACAGTTCAACTCTACCCAATCACCTACCAATAGACAAACCCTGTGGGTACAGTGTTTCAGCTTTTTTATACCTCACTCTTAAATATGAATGCAAAGTGAAATATCACCAGACAGTTCAGGAAAGCCTCAAAAAAATGAATGACAGACACCAAAACAAACAGAAAAGGGAAATTAGGAAAAGACAAAGCACAAAACAAAACTTTTAAAAATCTCACTCAAAGCCAGGTGTGGTGGCACATGCCTGTAATCCCAGTAACTTGGGAGGCTGAGGCAGAAAGATTGAGAGTTCAAAGCCAGCCTCAGCAAAAGTGAGATGCTAAGCAACTCGGTGAGACTCTGTCTCTAAATTTAAAAAATACAATATAGGGCAGGGGATGTCGCTCCATGTTTGAGTGTCCCCAAGTTCAATCCCCAATACCCCAAAAAATCAAATAATTAAAATCTCACTCGAGCTGGGGATATAGCTCAGTGGTAGAGCACTTGCCTAGCCTGAGTGAGGCCCTGAGTTCAATTCAAGTACTGCAAAAAAAATAAAATAAAATAAAATCTCACTCAGTTAAAATATATTACAGCATTATAGTGAGGCTAGGGGGTTTTTAAAATGAGACAATCAGAGGTGGGTGGTAGAGCTCTTGTCTAGCATGCACAAGGTTCTGGGTTATATGCCCAAC